ACCCCTTTCCCCTTCCAGAGCCGGGCGGGAGGGGGTCCCTGAGGGTGGGGGCACCCTCAGGGCACTATAGTGCCAGGAAAACGAGTATGTTTTCCTGGCACTATAGTGGTCCTTTAATTCTGTGAGTGCAAAATCTATATTTTAATTTTAGTTGGTTAGTTTAATTTATTTGCACATGGTTTATCTCTCTTTTTATTTTTCAAATAATTTTATCTTCTAAAGTTTTAATGCAATAAAAAAGTGTTTTTCATTAATACATTTTAAAATGCAACAGTTTACTTATTTTTTTGCATTCATTTCATAATCTCAAACTTGAAAATAGCTTAACAAAACCTGGAGGGGCTTCTCCTGTGTCCTCCTATCAGGATAACCGCAGAAAGTAATCAGTTGTGGTTTTGATGCACAGAGTTTCCGTTCTAAGGACTATGTCATCAACTAAATTGTCTGTTTAGAATCCTCACTGAGTAGTCAATAGTTTAAATGAGGCCACAATAAAAAGGCATATACCGATAAGAATTAGACCTCTGTGAAAAACTTGTGAAAACGAGGTTTCAGTTAAAAAACACTTTCCTGTTGCCGACATTTCCTCCATAGCTCACTACAGTAAATGTTATTTAAGTGTTTACGGAGGTGCAAGGTATAGAGAGGATTATAAAACACATATACCTCCTCTGCACTTTACAGATGAATGGTCCCTATCTTCCTAAGACAAACTCTACATGTAGGTATTCTTGCCATCTTATCCACAGGATCCTTTGTGCACGCTCCATGTGTCATGGAAAATGTTAAATCTGGGTCTGGTCAGAGGCTGCACCAGCATAACTTGGCATTCTATACAAATTTAAAAAAGGAATAGTTGTTCAAAAAAGCAACTAATAGCTTTCTTTAGAGTGACATTCCAGACCTCTAAAGCACTTTAGTTTGTTGAAATGTTTCATGTTCTCTATTTTCATTTTACAAAAAGGACCGATTTTACTTCCTGGTTTGGTTAGCTCAGTGCTGCTAAACTCAAGATGCAGCAATTGCCCAGAGCACCTGCATTGTAAAGCTTTCTCATTGAGTTGCATTGGGAAGTCTGTGATTGGACAGGCACAGATAGTCTGGGCTGGGGAAATAGAGGAGGGCTTGCAATGCCAGCAGATAAGAGATCTGCAGCATTTGCTGGTTTTAGATTTTCCCCCAATGAAAAAAAATGCTTAAGGAAATGCATGCATGTTTTCATTGTGGTATGTCTACTAAACATTTAAAAAAAAAAAAAAAAAAAACATTCAGCGTCCCTTCAAGCTACATTTGACTTGGGCCCATACCTCTGATATAACTGTTCTTCTAACATTTTCTCAAACTATAGCTATAAACACTTGCTGCTTCTAGATTTGCTCTTAAATAAATAGACCATGGATATAAGAGAGGTTGATTATCTTGAAAACACATGCATAAAATTTGTCTTAAAAATGCAACTTATATATATATAAATCAGAGGCAACTTTCTACTTTCTGAAATCAAAATTAAAGGAATCCTATAGGCACCCAGACCACTTCAGCTCAATGAAGTGGTCTGGGTGCCAGGTCCCTCTAGTTTTAACCCTGCATCTGAAAACATAGCAGTTTCAGAGAAACTGGTATGTTTCACTGAGGGTTAAT